GCGCAGCGGGCGGAGCGGGAGCGGGACCCGGAGGCGGAGCCGGCGGGAGAGTCGCGGTGAGCTGCCCCCGCCCGGTCCCAGCCCGGCAGGCAGCGAGTGCGGGTGCGGGTGGGAAGCGGAGAGAGCGGGCAGGCAGGGACGCTTCCCCGTGACAGAGCTGCCCCTCCGCCTCCAGCCCCCTCCCCATCGCCTTCCCCGCCCAATCCGTCTGATTCGTCGCGGGGGGAGGATCGGGGCAGGGGTCCCCTCCCATGTGCCTGGGCACTTCTCCCCCCATCGCCCCGGGGATGAGGTACTCCTGCCTCTGAGGCTTGGGCACCGCCTCTTCTGGGGGTCCCTTGGCCATGGGATTCATTGCCAAGAGCAGAGCACATGGAGACTGACTGGGGAGGGCAAGAAAAAAGATGAGTCTCCCTTATTTACATTTATTTATTTATTAGTATTTGTACCCAAAGGCTTGCGAAGAGGAATTTTTCCAACTATTCGAGTTGGTCTAATAGAAGACATCAGATTTACCCAAAGAACCCATTTCCCTTGGCAGGCAAGGCTCTTTGGATAGATGTGATATCTTTTATTAGACCCACTAAATCTTTAGTTATTTAGTCCATCTAATAAAAGGTATCACATCTCATAAAACATAGCACATCTACCCAAAGAGCCTTACCTGCCTATATTCTTAAACCAGCATGGCTACAACCAACAGCTCTGTCTCCCTTGGGTCTTTCCAGGAGCTTCAGATATCACATATTTAGTTATTTAGTTGGTCTAATAAAAGGCATCACGTCTAATAAAATATATCACATCTACCTGAGGAGCCTTGCCTGCCTATGTCCTTAGACCAACACGGCTACAACCAACAACACTGTCTCCCCTGGGTGTTTCCAGGAGCTTCAGCAAGTGCCAGCCATCAGCCCATTCTGCCCCCACCTTCCATCCACCAACAAAAAGAAAATTGGATGCCCAGGAGAAGGAAGCCAGGGCCAGGGAGACGTTTCCTTTCAGTCAGCACACCTTCCCATCATCCAGGCCAGGCAACAGACCCTGGGGGAAAAACTGGATCCTTCTCATTAGTGGCTCCCAGCACCCAAACTGACAAGCGGCAAAGAGATGGGGTGACATCTTCTTGAGAGCAGAAGGGCTAAATTTCCAATGGTATTTAACCAGTGTTCAAATTACACTTTGATACTTGGGGGGCGGGGAAATCAGAAAAAAAATGTTGGGCTGCCCATCAGGATGCCCTAATAAAATCAGAGACCCCCCAGGTTATGATTTGCAAATCTTACAACAGGGGGGCTCTTGTCTCTTATGGGCAGGCTCAGCCCCCCTGAGCTCCCCCGTAATTCAAGCCCTGCATTTAAGATGCTGGTAGATGCCAGGTGGGATTTTCAGAGCATCTAGATCCTTCCCCTGGAAGCCAGGATGCTTCAAAAACGTCTCTTGCACCCATCTGCCTCTTTCAGTTCCTTGAATGCCTTTATCTGTTTCCAAAGGACCTAGAAACCCATGTGTCACTGACTTTCTGTGAGATGTATGTTCCCAAAAGCCTAATTTTGTTGTTAAAACGGTCACTTTGTCACTTTTGAACATGTTACCTCATTCAGTTGTTTCTATTGGAGGAAAAGAACTGCACCCTGAAGTGTAAGCGCTATAAAAACCTAGACCTGGCTCCTGGTTCCTACTAGAGCCATTCAACACCTCAGGACACCCTCTCAGGACTAGAGAAAAAGTCTGATCATTCTTATTATACAAAAACATCCAGAGCCTGATGCACTTAGCTAGGGTATATTTGGGACCATTTTTTGGAATGCAGTGTGAGTTGTCATCGGTCTTGTACTGTATTTTGATGTAATAATTTGCATGTAAGAGTCCCCAAACTGCAGGACTGTAGTATTCCAGCCTTCTTCCTTTTCCTTTATTTTATCCCACTTTGCAAGACTGAAGCAAGGGGCATGAAGACAATAGGTTGAAGGCAGAGGATAGGCAGGGAGTTGGACTTCACGTTTCCACTTTTCCTTTCATCCATCTTCCAACACAGATCTTAATGCTGAGCATCTGTTCCAGTCTTCTTGACAAACACAGGCTTTTCTCCCACTCTGAACATGGGAATCAAGAGTTTTGGCCTTTCTGAGATTACTTATGAGCTCCAGTATCTCAAAATAGCCTGATAAACTTCCCTTTAGTTCATCCAACCCCTAGCTTCAATCAGCCTATTGTTTACCAGTGTGGTTTGTTTTTCTCTGATTGAGAATATAAGTCTCTTCTATTATATAACTCTGCCCTCAAGAAGACCTTTTGTAAAACAATAATTACAGTACATGGAAGGCGTTTCATCTCCTTCACCATGCAGAGCAAATTCATGTTTAAAAGGGAGAAAGACTGGTAGGGGATTCTGTTTCCTCCCCCAGCTTGGAAGAGGCACATAGCTGTAATTTATTTGTCATAGATTGAAAAGGGACATTTTCAATATGTGGGGATTATTGTTGTTGTATTGCAAAATGAGGGTAGCAAGACTTCCCATGATCAAATCCCAGCTACTTGTATTTAGTTTAAAGCTAGAAAAAACACCAGTAACAAATGTGGACATAGTTTTCTTTCTTCCCTGCTGTCAAAAGTGAAAATGGAAAAATATAAAATTATTCTATAATCTAAAAAGGTTTTGGCAATCCTACATTCCTCTGGACAATTTTAGATGCGTCTCAAAAGTGTCATACAAGATTTAGCAAATACCCTCATGGACTCCTTGAAAGAAGTGCAAATTAAACATGGAAGTGTTTTGTAAAATCCCACTGGACCCCTATCTGCAGGCAGAGATGCCAAAATACCTTCAAGAATTGGGCCCCACATCTCTCAGGAGATAGTCAACAGGAATCTAGTCCCCAAGACCCTTTTTAGAAGGAATGATTCCACAAGTGGACAGCAGCATCTTACAAGACTAAATTTGAAGAATATAGAATTTATTTGCACAGCACACCCCACAATCTAAGA